GTCAGTTAGACTCTTTTTATTCTAACGCAATAACAACAGAAGTGTGGGTCTTACTACAAAGCAAAGATTGTAAGAAGGAAAAATATAAAAAATTTTTGTGGTACTAATAGTATTACGTACAAATCACACAAGTTTTTCATTCTAAATACTGAATTATATTATTATTATTATGAACTAAATATAAAATTATGCTAAATTATTGAGCTTAAAACTACAAATTTAAATTCAAAAGAATATAAAAAATCACAGACTCTTTCAGTTCAAAGTCCTAAGTCTAATTCATGTAAAGACTTTGCACTCGCCACTCGGTAACTCTTAACCCTAACAATTGTGTATCAACTTCTTTCCTAAAAATATATCTAATTTGAGTTAATTTTTCAATATAATGATTAATATAAACAGATATACCATGCAGCATGACTTAAGCTACTATATAAAAAAAGTAAAAGTCACGTATATCCCATGCAGTTTTTTCCAGAAGCAGCTTTTCTAACGCTTATAGAAAAGCCCTATTGGTCAGTACTAAATACAACCTCTACATAAAATGGCAGTTACTATAATAAGCACCACCCACATTCATATTGTAAAATCCAGAGAACAACGTTTCATCACGGGCGTTCCTTATCATCCTATGATTTGTCAAATGGAGAGATACAGCAATTGGAATAATTGGTACTGAAATTGACACTTTCGACTAGGATTGGCTAAAAGTTTTACAACTGAAGTTTAACATGCCCAGACGCAGTTTTATAAAGAAAACAGACTAGAAAAAGGTTTAGATACCAATCATAGATGGCAGAACCAGTGCTGAGGTGAAAGGAAATATCTTAAAAAATTTTTGAAAAAAACATTTCTTCTTAGAGGGCGCTTATTTACAGTCTAAAATGTATTTTAGGAATTTTTTCATTAAATTCCTCTTTAAACTTCATTAAATAATACAATTTTGTACAAATAATTGAATGTTATGCTACTATTTATAAAAATAAAATCAGAAATCCATTAAAAGATAAGTTCTCTATCATTTTTTCAATTCACAAATGATTTTACCCTCACATTTGCATTGCCTACTAAGAAAGTTAGTAGCCGGTAGTCATCGGGTTAAAGAACTTTATCATTTAAAATATACTTTTAAATCTAGATGCTTCTCTAAGTGTTAAATTATGAATTTCACAATAGTATTAATACAGTGCTTTTAGTACTAAACTATTGGTTTTCTTTGCTAGAGTAGTATGTGTTTATAATTTAATGTTTCTTAGCATTCTGTAAAGATAACATAGGTGAATAAATGTAGTATTATAGAGTTTAGAATATATGGTTAATTTTCTTTCAATTGTTGGTATTTTTATATAGGTTTTTAAGAAGCAGCAGTATACAGAATATAGGGGATAAACTACCAAGTATTTCTTCAGAATATATAGATGAGGATATTGTGACTTTTTAAATAAGTAATTAGTTCTGATATAAATATATTTCATAACCCGAAATAAAACTAATTAAAAATTGACTACTGGTTCATACAATTTGTTTTTTTTTATCAATGTAGAAATAAAAGATATGACAAAAAAAAAAAGATTCTTGAAATTGTTATACCGTGAAGGATCAAACCTCTTAAATGATTTGAGAAAACTACACAGTTCTGTTAAAAACAAAAATAACTTGTAGCCATGCAATATCCAACATTTACCTACCAGTATTATCTCTTCTTTTGACTGCTTATAGTGTTAGAAAATTTTAGTATTCATTTTGTTTATTTTAAATGCAACAAAAAATAACAGTTTAAAAATACTGAGGAAAGCCAAGACCACTTCTACAACATAAGCCAACGTAAAGCCTGTAAAAACATTATATCAGTTATCATAAGATTTGAGATAGTACTGAACCTAAATCATTGTTACATTTTGAATATCTACCAAAATTGTGAATTTAAATGTTTAACTACAATGTACTAGTCAAATTACGGATGTCAATAAAATGTCATTTTGACTGTAAAACAAATTTTATCGACACACTGGCTAAAAAGTATCTACAAAATGTTTATTCTACAAGTGTAGTTAAGTTAGTTAACAAAATGCAGTTTCCTATAATCCAGTAGAAAATAAAGACCAATAACTGTAGCAGGTTTGGTAAACAAATACCTAGAACTTTTGTGTGTCATTTTGACAATAAAACTATTGCTAGTTGAAAATATACGTAATGTGCCATTCTAATAAAGAAGTGGTTATATTGGTCAATTATATATGTATCTAATGGGTGTGTGCAAGCTGGTAACCAGGGGCAAGAAATCCTGTTATATTAAGGAGCATCATAATAACTTTAGCTCTTGTACTTTGATTATATATATATATATATATATTTATATATATATATAAAGAAACGTTAAAAGTAAAGGAATT